GAAGGAAGGAAGGAAGGAAGGAAGGAAGGAAGGAAGGAAGGAAGGAAAGTAAGCACAAGTATTCATTTAAGGCCCCTCTGAATCAGTTCCTCCCCAGGTATGGTGAGCAGGTGTCTGGGTGCTCCAGGGAGGAGTGACAGCAGCTGGGCTGCTCTGGTGGGTCCTCTGCCTGGTATGCTCCCCACCTCACAGCACCCCACTGGGTACCGAGCCGGGTGGGGTGGGAGAGAGGTTGGCTGCTGCCATTTGCCTGGTGAATTATTCAGAAGCACTGTTATTGCTGTGTTAAATTGTCCCTTCAGTCTTTTCTGTAAACCTTCCTGATAGAAACCTCCCTCCCCGAGTCTCAATAACTGACAGAACAGAAGGAACCCCTCAGGAACGCAGACAGGCATTAATTACTGCCTTCATCTCCCAGATATTGCACTTGTAACTCAGGGAGCTAATTGTCAGTAGTGCCTGCGAGCACTCCAGGCCTGGGAGGCCGAGCCTTCGGAGCAGGAAGGGGAAGAGCAGTGCCCACCCACCACCCCAAGAGCCTGCTCTCTGTGCCTGAGCCCCAGCCTACCCAGAACCTTCACTTCACTTGGATTCTTCTACCCAGTTCGGAGGGCTGACAGACAGGCATCATCTTGGAAGTTGCTTTGCATGTGGCCCCCAGGGTCTGTGGTCCAGTAAAGCAGTGCAGCCTCCTGACACCAGGGCTTGTGTCTGTCTGTATCCCCCATTACCCAAGGAGTAGGATAGCAAAACTGCTAGCATCTTTCCTAAGGCCTGAATCTCCTGCAGACAATCAGGGCATCTTTCCCTCCCAACTAAAGGGAACTAGATCCTAGCAAGTAGTCCCCTTGGATCTCAGAAGTATGGCCAACATCCTCTTACCTAGCCTCTTCGAGTTCCCAAGGCTCCAGAATGCCTCTCAACACCCGCTGGTCTGATTTCGCTGCTCATCAGGGTTCACCCAAAATGTTAGCAGGGCAGCAAGCTGGTGGGAGTAGATGACTAAAGCCACCCTGCCACCCACGCGTAAATCACCTCAGGTAAACGATGCCATCTCCAGCCTGCATCTTTGAAAGGACTTAAGAGAACCATGTCTCCATTGCTATTCTGAAACAGTATAGTATGTTCTGTGGGCTAAAGAAACAGGCTTTTATATTGTGGCTTAATTTTCAGAGAGTCCTCTGGAAACCAGCTCAGGAAGGCCCTTGAGAATGAGAACAGGTGGGTTAACTACCTCTGAGGTGGTCTGTGTGTGGCATCATGATTACATCAAGAAGGAGCTTTCTCCACCAGCAGCTACTAAAGCCCTTTCCTTTAACAGATGGAAAATTCCTCCTCCCTTCCCAGTGTCCGTGGCTTCCCATGATTCCCAGAGCAGCTACAGAGCCCGTTTCTCCTTCTTCATCCCTGCGCTAGCCTAAGAACAGGGTGCTGGGGTGCCGAGGGCCCCCTGAGTTACCTGCTGCTTCAAGTGCACTCTCAGGTGTCCTGACATGCTGCACAGAAGTGACCTAGGGACTGTTGTCCGTGCCCATGAGAGGGAACGGGGAGCTGCTTCAGTTGTCTTTGGGTCCTAGCCCCCTTCCCTGCTCCTTTGAAAGACAAGATGGGATAGCGTCAGATGGTCTGACTCTGAGGACTTGCGACCTTGAGTCTGCACTGGTGCGTGTTCTAGCCCTGGCTTTGGGGGGGAATGGAGTTACAATGTGGCAGGGACTAGGAGGGCTGAGTGGCGGGGTTGAGAAGAGTGCTGAGTTCAGACATGTAGTGGCCATGTGGAAACCAGGCTCAGAGGCATGCATGTCTAACCCCAGTGCAGGGCCAAGACTGGTGGAAGGACAGCCAAAGGATCCCAGGGGCTCATGGCCAGCCAGTCTAGCCAAAATGGTGAACTCTAAGTTCAGAAGAGACTCTGCCTCGAAAAAATGAGTTGGAGGGTGATACAGGAGCCGTGGGCCATCCCTTGTCCCAGCAGCGCTCTCAGCCTGCCAGCCCACCCCTTGTCCTGTATCTCCATCCAGCTTCATCCCCCCCTCAGAGGTCATCACAGGTCAGCTGAGAGCTGGCAGCATCCACCACTTACAGGTGGGCAGATGCTGCCAGGTCACGGGCAGACCGACAGGCACCAGCATAGAGCCCGCCCAAGTGCAGACGGCAGAGCGGAGCCTAGCCTGCTGGAGACCCAGCCACAGACTGGCCATATTGAACAGGGGTCCTTTATTGGCTGCCTTGGGACAGGACAAGGTGACCCCAGTTTGCTCTTGGCAGGCGCTGTAAGATCCTCCTCTGGGGCACAGATGACTGGGAGGAGAGATGGCACCTAGTCACAATGGGCAGGTACCCCTCCTCTCTCCGTGGGTGGGGGTTGGGGAGCATCCTTCCTCAGACCCCTCCAGATGCCTCCTCAACAGAGAGGCTGAAGCTCAGAGCAGCACTGCTTGCCAGTCACCCTGCCAGGTTACGTTAGGGGGTTCCTCCTGGGCCTCAAGAGCCCCGCCCACCCCTATCCTTCTGTCCTTCTGATCGCCCCTATGCTGTAACACTGCCCTTTGTTTGTGCCATTTAAAACAGCAGTTAGCTCCTCTTTCCAACCCAGATGTTCTTCCTAGAACACTGAAGGAACAGACAGGCGAGGACAGAGCGCCCTCCTCATGAGGTTGTGGGGACCACAGCCAGGCCCTGAAAGTTCCTCTGTGCCGCAGTCAGCTCACCTTGGCTTGGTGAAGTGTGTTCCTTGTTTATTTTCAGGTATTGTTTTGTTTTATGGCTAATGGCTCTAGTGGTGTAGGCTGTCCTTGAACTCACCACGTAACTGAATCAGATCTTAAACCCCTCATCCTCCTGCTTCCACCTCCCGAGTACTGGGATTACAAGAGTGCTCCACCATATGTGACATAGGCATGGCATGTTAGCAGTGGCTTCTGTGTGTCTGGTTTCTGCCTCCCAGTCACACCACCATGGACACACTGTCATCCCAGAGAATGACTTCCGCGGGGTCCCCAAACTGAGGCAGACAGCCGGGCTCAGTAGGCTGTCCTCAGGTCTTACAGTCTCAGGACAGAATGCTCTGTTCGCAGGGCAGCCCTGGTTATGCTGCACAGCTTGGGGAATATCAGCTTGCCATCCCAAGCATGACCTCTGCCAGGGACTGGGCTGCACTGGCCTGACCCTCCTGTGGACATGGAGGCTTTCTCTCTCATTGCTACTCATTCCCAGGGAACAAAGTGGACTTTTCCTGGTACCTCAAGTAAGGTTGGAAGTGAGTGCCTCTTCCCAAGGACATTCCCTTCCGATGCCAGAATTGCTTTGTACTTTCAACATCAGCCATTGTGCCCTGGGGCTGTCTAGCATCTGCTAATAAGTGGGTCACCGCTACCATCACTTGAATATTCATCCTCACCCATTCTGGAGCAGAAGGTGGCCTAGAGGCCTTCAGGACCAGTGAGGAAGGGACGTTAACAAAAAGCAGGCCTGCCTGGTCACCATGCTACACCTCTAGGCTGTCGCACACTGTGACCATTTTCTGTGGTGATGACTCCAGAGCAAAACTCCAGGAGAAAATGGGTGGGTGCTGCCCCTACCTGGATGGAAATGGGATGTGGTGAAACAGGAAAGGGGCTCTCCTTGGG